CAGAATAAGGGTAAGTCAAAAAACAAAAAGACTACCTAAATAGTTCAAAGGCTCATCGCATTTAAGGAGCTCCTTGACATTAATAAGTTCAAGTTCGAATACGGGCTTCCTCTCCTCGTCAACGAGGACCTTTCCTTCTTTTCCCATTCATTGAATCAGGGGTATTCCCTCTACAAAGACCAATTATGGTCATAGCTAGCCTGATCTTCAGGATTCAGCTGGCCCGTTTTCATGATGTAATGATCGGTCCCATGATCAAAGTGCTCCCAGTCCCAATGAAAGTGGAACCTTTGCACAAGTTCCCTCATCGGTTTATCTTCCTCAGTTAGCACATGCTCCCCGTCCGCACCATGCCTAGGGATGCTCATAAAACATTAAAGACCTCCCTCTTCGACACAGGATAGAGCAACAAGTACTTGTCCTTGAAATGTCGAACATATTCAAGATAGGCCTTTAAAAACTTTTCGTTATCCTATTTCAGAGAGACCCGTCCAAACTGCCCACCAGCGACTCCCTGCTGGAGACGGAAGCAATAAAAAAGCAGGGGGACAGTGGCCTCAATCTTCAAAAACACACACGCAATCTCAAAATCCTGTAATAAGGCTATCAAGTTAGGGTGAAGTTGCGAAGAAGCAAAATGGATATGGTCGAAAACAACCACCTGAAGGTCAGTGAAAGGAAGTCGGAACCCTAAGTATCTGAAAAGAATATCGTACATAAGGAAATTATTGTCGTTGTACTTCGAGCATATGCGGTCACACTTCCCGGGGATGTAGATAACTAATTCCTCCTTAGCACTCAATTGCTCTATCCCCGAGGCCACAACCGTGAACACTTCCTACAGGTGCTTGGTGAAGTAGGAGGCAATCTCCCGAGGATCTGGTGCGACCCATTCCACAAAAGCCACAGGTGCCTCAGGCACATACTGCTCAGTTGCATTTTATCCCAATGTACTTGACTCATAATCATTTTGCCCCGACACACTTTATTCGTTCGAAGTATGCTCGGATGAACCCTGTTTGGAATAACTTTGCTCGCTCATAACCCCGTCTTCGGTGCTACTAGCCATTTTACCTGAAAAGAAGAGGAGAAAAGTGAATTCAACATCAAATCAAATCCACCCTTCCATCGCTAATCAAGTGAAAGGGAACGCAAAGGAACGAGGACCTTGTCCTCGACCAAAGCCCTCACTTAAATAGAAAAAAACAGACATAAGGATGATTCCCTCTAACGTGTTAGGCGTCTTTACGCAAGGCTAAACCCTAACCCGCGCAAGGAGTAATCTCCCAGACGAATGGGTTTTAAACCTCACCTGAGGGTTCATTCGAAACACATGAAAATCATGAAAAAAACCCAGAAGCGACCCAACTTTTCCAGAAAACTCATCACATCTCGCTGATACCGACCCTAACGCCAGATATTTCAACCATATTCACAATGGAGTCGACATCCTCATGTAGTAGAACCACTGTCAGACACCAACGAACCACCAGAAATTACCTCACTAAGCTACATTTTCCTAGTCGCATGCATCTCTAAAAGCAAAATTAGAAGATCTAACTTAGAACAGAGATGAAATTCACAGAAACAAGGGAAAATCAAGAAGCTTACTACTGGTCGGGGAGGATTAACAGCGAAACGAGCAGAAACTTTAGAGGTGAACAATGACGTTTTGCAGAACTAGCATAAATGAGCAGGAGAAAGCAAGCAAAAAGTGCAAATAAAGCTTCCTCTATCCCATTTATAGGCAACTTTGCTAGCACGTGAGCGGGAACGCGCCTAGGGAAGCTTAAGGGTCGTCATTAATATGCCCTAGTCCTCATACTTGCCATAATTACATATTAATGACAACATATGGCTTGATGCAAGCATGGTACACTATCTCTCAAAGTCCAATCAACCATTAAGCTCCCCGCACGCCGAACATAAGAGACCACGTTCGGGCCCCCCGACACAGCTGCCCTTAAATGTATCCTGAAGTGTCCTCATCTCCTACGACGAGCACCAAAAGCATTTCCACCTCCTTGATACATGGGCTAACTCTAAGTCATCACTCCTACATCTAGAAGTAACGACTTAGGGGGATCCTGTTATGGACTAGCCCAACAACTAGAATTGGTTCAATCTGCTTCTACCTTCCACATGGCTCAATAATGTTGGCCCATTAACTCTGGCCCTTCTATCAAGCATACCTGGTCGGCTTCACCTCGTGAACAGTGAGACCAACAATGCCTAATACATACGCCTGCCCGTGTTGTACCCTAAAATTTTCCCTATTCTTTTTAAATCATATGGCTTATGTTTCATCATACACATTCATGCATTTTGATGGGATCAAGGTATCTTTGGTTCTCATGTTCTTCTATAAGCTATAAAAGGGTGGTTGTGTTGACAATCAATGCCAAAAGGGTCTCATGCCTTCAATATCTGGGTCACTCAAGCTATAAGGGTTTTTCATACCTCAGGAAATCTTAATTGTCTTACTTGTTCATCAGAAGATTGAAAATTGCAAGTGTTTTGAAGTGAATCACATTTCTCCAATTCATCTCTTGAAAATAGGGTTGTGGGCCAGATGAAGTGTGTGGTTCTTGTATGAGCCATTTTGTAGAAGTAATAATCTCTCGTTATCATATGAGACATATTTGTTCAAGAGATCCTTCATCATACTCCATGGAATTAGGGTTTTGAAATTGGATCATCACCTCCTAACACAACCAGTCAAAATTAGGGTTTGAGCTAAAAACAGTCTCCAACTTTTTGAGATATACTTGATTCCATGTTTCTTTGCACGTCCCTAAGCATCTACGAATGAAAGATTGGTCATCATTTTTTATTGGAAGAAGATCAATTACACAGATGAATTCAGAATAATCAAATTGAGGAAAAGTCAATTGTACAGTAAAAAAGTCAACTTTTGACTTTTTAATGTCAACATGGTGTTCAATAAGTCAAATATGTTCAATGGTTGAGAGTTGTCCAGGTGGGATCTCAAAAATCAAGAAAATCAATAAGTCAAGTATAAGAGGTTTTTATGTTCATTTCCTCATGTTCCAAGTCATATATCTCATTCATGTGTGGATGGAAATTTGCAAGCTCATGATCATTGAAAAGAAAGAGTTTATTACTTCATCTTTGTCCCTGATGGCTCATCCTCCAAAATTTCATAGATTGCAAGATATTTGGGAGAAAAGTTGGTGATTCATTCATATTTGAAATTTTAACATAGTAAAATTCTGATCAAGTTTTAATATGACCAAGTGTCTCACTTGGGTCCAAATTTCAGATGGTTTCAGACTTTATTTTATGATGGATTAAACTACAAAGTTGTTCAGAATTCTACATTCTACATTTTTGTAGAAAGAATCGAAATAGTTTGAGCCTTAGATCAAAAGTTATGTGGATGCGAAGTCGTGAACTCATTAAGATTTGGATGGGAAAAAAACTTAGTTACAATCTGGAGATTTTTAAAGTGTCCAATGGGTAACCTTTGAATGCTAAATGCTCGTGGATTAAAGATTTGTTTTAAATTGAGCTCAACTGTAAAAGTGTTCATCTCATTGCTAGCTACAAGTTTGAAGAAGAGAGTAATCCAAAATCATACGCTGATCAGAAGATATGAGATCATGAAGTAGGGGCTTCAAGGTGTTTGATTAAATGACACTTAGTGATTTCTGAAGGGTTGCTCGAAGGGTCAAGGTATGACTTGATTGAGAATTTGCATACTGATACGGTTTCTATTCATAATTCTCCCAACAACAAAGTTACTATATCAAATGTATTCTTTCTCATGTTACCAAGATTACTCCATTTGGCCCATTATTGAAGAGGTTGGAAGGTCCAGAAGCTGAGAGTACGAAGTGGGCGGATAGTTGGCCAAATTTAGATAAACGTTCGGCATTGTTATTAGGTGCAACCACATGACTTCAAGGTCGTTTTAAGGCATGCTACAAGTCTTATTCCAATAAATGTTCAACATAGAACTTGGTCACACAATTCTCCTCTTCATTTCTGATCATAACATATTGGCTTGAGGATGACTACAATTTGAGTTATCAAGTATAGAAGGAAGGCATGTGGGAACGGGCTACGTAATATCACCGGTTGGCCAAGAACGCATGGCAAGGTATTTGTTGCGCATGACAACAACATACTGCAGGCATACACGCTCCACATCATTTTATTACTCGAGAAAGCCACACACAAATCTTAGGCGCATGCGTGGTTGTAGAGCTTGCCTAAACTGAATGATGCTTTTTTGATAAGTTTGGTATTTAAGGCTTGTGCGTATGATACCTTACTATAGGCCCTCTTCACCGAATCAAAATCACAGTCATAATAATCCTTACAGCTTAGGATTCATATTTTCTCATTCTTCATAAGAATTGAAAGGAGTTTGAGAACGTTTAAACTGCACGCACCTGAGCCTCTCTATAAGTCCATCATCACCATTCATTTGGTTACGGTTACGAATTCAATTACAAAAATTGTGAACAAACTCTATTTCTTGCTCTCTTCCTCGTAGCTTTCTCTTTCTTGCTGGTTCATCATGTTATTCTCTTTCTCGATTCCACAAGAAAAATGAGATTTTTCAATGCAACTTCCATCTTATTCTTTTCTCCATAAGAAGAAGAAGATATCATTAATCTCCATTGAAGCTCAGAAGTAAGCTCGATCTGGTTCATTCTTTATCCTCGTTCTCAAAGATCCTATGAGTTTATTTATCAGTAAAGTGAAGCATTGAAGAATTCATCTTCCTTAGCATCAAGATCCAAGAAGATTTGTAGAGTTTTCTTACGTTTGTTTTCATGATCTGAAAATAGGTGAGTTTTCTTGAGCCTTCTTGACATGCTTAAGTTCACTATAGCATGCCTCATGCATCGCATCTGTGAGCTCCAAGCTGTTGGAGGCTGGATTTAGGCTCGAATGTATGTAACGGTTGTGTATGCTATAGTTAAATACATTTTTCAGATCCATCATCCACGAGTTCATGAACTTCCTTAATGCTTGGCTTTGATTCTGAGGATTTAAATAGAAGATTTGAAACCAGTGTTCAAAACCGAGTAGAATGGAAAGTTGCAGGAATTTTCGTTGAAGATTTGTCGTCTCCCGCGAGGGCACCGCCGGAGAAGACGGTTGCACCGCCGCCTGGAGGTTTCAATGACCGGAGTATTGACTCCTTGTGCCCTAGAGGTATCTCACGCTCATTTGCTAAATAATTGAATAATTGGATAACTGGATACTTGAGAATTGATATGGCACGTTTAGATTGGGCATGGACCTTTTTGTCATGTATTGTTTTAAGAGAGATATGAACCAATTGATCTAGTTCTTTTTTTGTCACATTAGAATAATCAGGCGATGAGATGAATAATATAATGGACTTGGGCTTACGTCAATTCATTTTACACCCTCTGTACTGAAAGTTGCATCAAGTGCGTTTGGATTGAGCCTAGAGCATTTACCTGTTTGCAAACCCTTGTTATTGGGCCTCAGAGCCATTAAATTAAATTCAGTTCAAGGCAATATATGCTGATGCAACCCATGTGCTAGTTCAAGCTCATGATCATTCTATTTTCATTTTAAATTTGTTTTAATAGCTCCAATGATCCAAAAAATTCATGAATATTCTTTAGGACGTTATTTAATTTGCCATGAATTTTAATTCCATTTTTTAATTGTTTTGGGCAATTAATTCTTTTTCTTATCAAAAGTGTTCTAATTGACCTAGTTTCCAACTTAATGTATGATTGAGTTTGCTTTGGTTTATGTTTAACATATATGTGAAGATTGGTGGTTTTCAAACCGATTTTTTTTTTGCACTTCATGTAGTGAAACAATGTTGCCCGAATATGTTAAGTGCATGTACATTGTGATTCAATTATCATTTGATGCATGCTTGTTTGTACTCAAGCATGTGTTGGACATTTATAATGCACTTTGTTGGTTTCCACTTGAGTTTTCGAGCCATTTCATGTATGGATGCGGTGCTGCACGATTTTCTACTTCTATGTTCCGACACTTGTTCAGATGTTAATTCTTCGCATTTCGATCTTCTTTTGAGTTGTGATATGATTGCTTGCATTCAATTACGCTTTCTTGTTGTCACTAACCCCTCTTGTGTACTTGTGCAAGGTTCTTAAAGAGAGTTGTCAATTGGTTAATCGATTCTTGGTTATCCGATTGAAATATATTATTCCACTTCCTTGTGGTTTGATTTCACTTTCGACGCGATCGATTGCGAGTCTCATTTTATGAGACACATATACTGTTGTTTGGTTGTCTTGACATGTATTTGTGCAGGTTTACTGATTGACATTCTAATGTGTCTACTACACATTCAATTTGTGATTTATTTTCACATATTGCTTCGACGCATATTCCGAGCACCCGATTTCTGACTTCTTTTGTTGTTGATGCTAGCTTGCTCGAAATTTTTCGGGTTTCTTACACTCGTTGAGCTTTATCACAAATTTGAAAATTGTTTGGTATTTGCTCTTGACTATTGCACCCTGTATTATTTTCTACTTTCCTTGCCATGAGAAGTAGGAATAGAGATGCATGATTATTTTTCGCTTTCCTTGCCATGAGAAGTAGGACTAGAGATGCATATTTTGGGAGTCCCTTTGAGGCAAATTTGGTTTATTTAAAGACCTTGGTTAAGGCAATTCCTACTTGTGCTTGCGCTTTCTTGTTTAAAAGTCATCGACAAAGGCAATTATGTGTGTTTACATTTGTGCCCAGAGAACTCAAAGAAGGTGTCCCATTCCAATTCCCCATTGATAAGTCTTCAAAAGGAGGCAAGGCGAGCAGAAGGTCTGCAATCGACCCCGCCAATTCTAGTCCTCGGGTCGTTTGTAGCTCACATCCTACGTCGATGCTACGAACAATAGTACTCTTGTAATCGAGTCCGTCAAGTGGAATACATGGATCTGTAACCAATCCCCCATGCTTTGTCAATTGCCCTTGTTAGTAAATGTTTATGCTTCGACGTGAACTCATTATTTCCTTATATCGCCTACCTAGATGGCACGATATTTTGGTTAGGTGTTTATTCGCCTATGAAGATTCACTTTTTTTCTTCTCTTGCATGGATGACATGATATCTTGGTTAAGAGTCGACACCCTTATTCTTATTGCCTTGATGACATGATATCATGGTTAAGAGCTACTGACTTCCCCCAGTTTTGCTTGCCTCGATGACTAGATATGTTGGTTAAGCCTCCCTTTATCCTATCTTGATGACCCAATATCATGGTTAGGTGTTCCACTTCCATTATCCTACCTCGATGACATGATATCATGGTTAGGTGTTATCCCTCTCCCCCTCTTACCTTGGTTACAGGATACCTCGGTTAGGTGTGTGCTACTTGAGTGAGTGGATACTCCTCAAGCTTTGTGTACTTGTTTCTATTGCTTGATCACATGCTCCCGTTAAGATCGTTAGTTCACTCTCTTTCAAGTTTGAACTAATTAGACCTTAGGCTCGAATCTATGCATGTCAACACTAGGTAGATTCTCCCTTTGTTAATCCAAACTCTAGGACCATCATTGTATGCTAACAATAGGGATAACTCTAGGTTAGTCTACCTTATACTTTTTCTCTTCCCCTTTTTGCATGACTAAAACAAAAAACTCCTTTCTTTGGAAAATTCACAAAACACTCTAAAAATGCAAAACCCCTTTTCAAGGTAAAAAATGTCAACCAATGCAAACCTATTTGTCTCCAGAATTTTTCTTTTAAAACCCTTTCAAAAAGGACATGCTTTGCTAGCATTTTTCATAAAAAAATACAACTCACCAAAACTTTTAAGGTGAACTACGAGTGCCTTGATCCCTATTGCACGGTCGGTGGTACATAGGCACAAAGGTTTGCAACCACGACAGCCCACATCAGCAGCTACCTTCCGGTCTGCTCGATGCACGTAGAGTAGCCAACCAGGAAAACACTCATAACACATATTCCCGTAATCTCTTCCTTGCTTTGAGCAATGGCTAGTTACGAGCACGATTGGCCATTTTGACCAACTTCTGACAATTACCTATTTTTTAGGATCCTAATATCTAGGCTCAACAATAGGAACCAATGGCTAAGTGTCGGGGGCATTATATAAACCCTCACACTTGTGAGGGCCAGTTATCCAATATTCACTCTAAAAACCATAATCTCTTTCTTGTATCTCTTTGCACCCATTATTACTTGATCGTCGGAGTGCCTTGCAAGTACACCCCCCTTATTTCCTCAAATTTTCAGCCTAGTAGACATCATCTTTTGGCTCACTTTCAGGTTCTGATCAACCTATAAGATTAATGCTTATTGAGTAAATACAAGTAAAATTCTCCATATCAAGATGATGAAAATTCTTATTTCCTCATACTTGGGGGTAGTAAGTTTATTTTTCCTCTCGAATACGACAAAATATCTTTTTCACCTAAAATCAAACAACAAACATGTATCATAGCCAGATGTTGAGAAAGATGTTGTAACGTCTTGAACAATTGTCATAGCAGGTGCTGCTGCCTCCAAATATTGAGCAAGATGTTGTGACATATTTTCCAACTGATAAGCAGATTCTACTGTTACTTTCTTGACAGATTTGATTTTGTGAGATTTTCTTGTATATATCTCACTTATTTGTGCAGGTCAAGAAGATTTTATTTGTAACAATTGATTTTATCTTCAAATGTACATTAGTTTCTAAAATTAGATGTTGAGACAATTTAGGAAACTTATGATGTTTTGTTCCAAGATTCAAGGAGATTCTTCTGCATAATTGGTACAACCATCAGCTGGTAAATCTACAACAAATTAGCTAGAGAATTTGAAGCCCGTGGACAACTAAGATCTTTAAAAGGAAAAACCTAAACCTAATGAAAGGTGTAAAAAGTAAGGAGAAGTTAGTTTACAAAAGTCTTAGGGTATGAGAGTATTTTTAGAGTACTGTGTTTTTGTGTATGTCACTCATATATCATGTTGATACATAGAGTTTGATTGATTGTTTATTGTTCATTATCAATCAATAATGAGCTTTTATGCAAAAAGTGGATTATGTGTAATTGCAAGTGTGATATTCTATTTTTGGTCTTTTGTTATTGTCACTGAGGTAAATGTGGGAATTGGGAGGGGGTTCTCATATCTAGGAGGTTCCTAGGTAGAATTTTCATAAGGTAATGATTATGTGATAAGTTATAAACTATGATTGTTTATCTTTGAACTAATACTATCATAGTGGATTTCCTTCCTGACTTGGATTCCCCTATAGTAGGTGATGTTGCACTGAACTGGGTTAACAATTGATTGTGTTATTTTACCTTTTGCATTTTAATTTTTCATAATTTACTATTTTGTAAAATTGTTCTGTCAGCAGATCATGTCTTAACATTTGTTTAGACATTGTGTTTGGTGTTAGGACATCGGTGTTGACATCTATATTGAAAGTACCCGAATTTCAATTGGCATCAGAGCATGCACCATGTTCTGTTTTGGGTGAGCTCCAGAGAGAATACTTTCTGGTATTATGGACAAGGAATGAGGATACAACAATATACCACCTATGTTAGATGGTGCAAACTATGACTATTGGAAGGTTATAATGGTAGCCTTTCTGATATCCATGGACAACATATATTAGAAGGTTGCTTTGAAAGAATGGAATCATCATGTTGTGAAGGAAAAAAATGGTAATGAGTCTTTGAAGCCAGAAGAAGATTGGTCTAAGGAGGAAGATTAATTAGCTCTTGGAAATTCCAAAGCCTTGAATGCTCTATTCAACGGAGTGGACAAGAATGTTTTTAGGTTAATAAATTCTTGTAATGTAGCTAAAGATGCTTGGGAAATCCTTAAGACAACTCATGAAGGCGCATCCAAAGTTAAGATGTCCAGACTTCAACTTCTCACTACTAGATTTGAGAACCTAAAGATGAATGATGATGAAAGCATTCAGGACTTCTACATGAATGTTCTTGAAATATAAAATGCATCTAGTGCTTAGGAGAGAAGATGTCAGAATAAAATCTTGTTAGAAATATTCTCAGGTCTCTACCTAAGAGATTTGACATGAAGGTAACAACTATTGAATAAGCTCAAGACATCAACAACATGAGGGTTGATGAACTTGTTGGGTCACTTCAAACTTTTGAATTGTCTATTAGTGACAAGTCTGAGAAGAAAAATAAGAACATAGCTTTTGTATCCAATACTGAAAATGAAGAGAGTCAG